TGCTTCCTAGTAGCTCAAAGTGGCTATTATCCTCTGATCACTCACTTTAACAAGGTATTTTCAACCAGAAAACTGCAGCTCACTGGCTTTTTCTTTTTCTGACCGTGATCTGTAAACCCTAGAAATGGTTGTGTGTGAAAATCCTGAGAAGATCAGCAGTCTGACATACTCATTGTTATTGGTGCATGTCTGGTGCACAAAACACGTTGCATTCAAGGTTATTCAAATCATTATTCTTCAATATTCTGATACTCGGTGTGAACTTCAAGAGGTCGTATTGTTGGGCTGATTAGATATTTGCATTAGCAAGCAGTCGAACAGGTGTACCTAATAAAGTGCCAGTGAAAGGGTTAGTGCTAATTAGCACATTTTTGCATTGTCACCATCATTGAGCTTGTTGACATGTAAATATTAGCTTTTTGCTTATAATACTACCATCAGTGTTTCAATATGAGGTTCTTTTTCTTTGTGTTTTAACAAATAATTTGTAGGTAATGACACAACAAAAATAGTCTTTTGAAAAAAATCCAGAAGCTGGTTTCATCAAAATAATATTAGTAAGGGCATGAAATATGTCTGGATTGAATCGCAGTTTACCGCAAGTGATTGATTTGTTGATGAACAGTGAAATTGTTTTGTCTGACACACACACACACACACACACTTGTACATTCATGACTTGAGAAAACATCACACTGAGTTATATTCATTCTTAGGAGCCTCCTTTAACCTTCACTACTTCTAAAACACAAAAAATATCACAGTGAAAAATACTGTTAGGTCCATAATGTGTTGGACTGAGATTATGTAGTTTTTATCACGAACGTCACCACAGCAGATGTTAAATCAGATAGCCAACGTGTGTTTGAAATGCAGAGTTTTTACCTTTAATTCAAGGAGATTTAAAAAAATAAATTGCACTGTTTATGAATCACATTTTACAGACAGTGCCTCATTTTTCAATGTTCAAAAGCAATTGGACAAACTAGCATAATTTTAGATATAAGGATTTTTTTTTAAAGATACTTGGATTAAAATCCTTTGCAGTCAAGTACATCAAGTGTAGAATCAACAGACAAAACTAATTGCAGTGTTTTCGCCCTCGAGATGCTCTACCAGACCTTCAGTTGGTGCTTGTTTTTTTTTTATATTTCTGCCTTCAGTTTTGTACTTAGTAACTGAACAGCATGCTCTGTTGGGCTGAGATCAGAAGAATATCCAATTTCTTTGCTTCCTTGTCTTGGGTTGCTTTTGCACTATGCTTTGGGTCATAGCTTGCCATCACCAGTGTGTGAATGTGTGCGTGAATGGGTGGATGACTGGATGTGTAAAGCGCTTTGGGGTCCTTAGGGACTAGTAAAGCGCTATATAAATACAGGCCATTTACCATTTACCATTGTCCATTTGTACTGTGAAGCCCTATTTGATCAGTTTTGTATTTGGCTCAATCTGATCAGAGAATACAGCCACGGACACTTTACAATTCATCCGACTGCTTCTAACAGCAGTCACATCCACAATAAACACCAGTGACACAGTTCCACCATGCATGCTCATGCCATAACATTATCTCTACCATGTTTGACAGATGATGTGATAATCTTCAGATCATTAGCTGTTTCTCTCCTTCTCTATACTTCTGAATTCTGATATGAATTTTCAGACTTTTTTAGAAGGTTTTTTTTGGCGAAGTCTAATCCAGCGTTCTTGAGTGTAACCGGTGGTTTGCACCTCTATATTTATATTTATGAAGGCATTAATTGATTGTAGACTGACACACTTTGTCTCTCAAGTGTTAATGACTTGGGTTGATGTTGAGAAGTTGTTTTTCTTAACTATGGAAACAATTCTACCATCATCCAATTTAGTTGTCTTCTGTGAATTTCAGGCCTTTTGGTGTTGCTGAACTGGTCAGTCTTTTTTTCTTTCCTCTCTAATCCTCTGGAGTCAACGAACCCGCTGGTGTGTCCAAATCACATGACCAGTTTAAGATGGCGTAGCAATAAGACGCAGCCTCGCTGAGTCTCTGTCTCAACTTGTGTGGAAAGTGCAGACTTTTTAATCTTAACAGTGCAGTTATGTGAATTTTATTGGCAGTTTAATGCAGTCCTACCTCACAAAAACAGACTGAAGCCAGCAAAATAACCATGCCTATGTTTCCCATGTTGTGGACACATCTTACTGTAAACAACACTACAGAAGCATTTCAGATATTTAATAATGTGACAGTGTTGCTCTTAAACTATGTAAAAATAACCGTTACAAAAGCAAAAATGTTCCGAATCACATTTAGTGTTATGTTTTAGATCATCTCAGTAGATATTTGGGTTCAGGTGTTTGCCTTAGTTTGATATTGCTGCTCTCCCAAAGTGTGGTTAGGGTTGGCACAGACAAACACAAACATCCATCAGCTGTTTTTCTGGTGCACTGAGCAGATTAGATGACTTGAGCTAGGTTTTTCTTCTTTACAGCTTGCCATTTTTTCTGCTTGCCCGACTCAAACTTAGGTGTAGCTCATCAGAAGCTCACGGCTCCTGTATTGACTTCAGCATCTGTGATGATAATAGTCTCACTGAGCACAGAGGAAAGATACCACTCATTCTGCCAGCGGGAAGCACAACACTGCTTCACAAGCCAAACATCAGTTTGTAATCTGCTGCGTTGGCTTGGAAGCTTGATTCGGAGGAGGAGAGATGTGGGAGCAGAGGGAGAGGCTTAAAAAGACTCCGGATTTGCAGAGTCAAATAAGCTGGAGGAGAAATGGATACCTTGGGATCAGCATTAGCATGTCTGAGCGTTTAAGCACGAGGGTTAGGACAGAAAAGAATAACCATGGAGTCGCAGCATTAAACTGCTGAGTCATGCTGTGACGTTTGTCCAAATGTTGTGCAAAACCACTCCACAGTCAGCCTGTATCCTTCAGCATCCTGCCCGGTCCTTGAGGTGCAGAAGAAGAGTTTCACTGTTTGCATCAGCAGCCGGCAGCAACAGAAGTAAGTGACTTGTCTGGTAAAGGAAGGGGGGAGAGCTCAGTGGGTCAGTAGAGGTGTGTATAAGCTTCTGCAAGTCAAAGTAAAACGTAGCATGTTTTCAGTTTATACTTACCTTGCGGTCATCATTTCTGTTAGGAAGATTGCAAAAGGGATAGAGCTGTTGTAGAAATAAACCACTTAGATTTAGTCTGTTAATCAGACAACTTGGACAAAAATAATCTCCAAAAATTCATCATCCAGTAGCTGCAGGTATAAACTACACTCATTTCTTATAATTTATGTGACAAACTACTTAATGGCAGTAGGAGTTTCTGTGTTTGTTTAGTCAGAGCACAGCGTTCGCTCTTTGTGCCATAAATGTATTTGTTTACTCGTCCATTTTTAGCGCTAAAACAATCCCTTTGTTTATACTAATGGCTCAAATTCATCACTGGCAAAGGGAGAAAAGGTGATCTATGAAACAGAGTGTGTATGTTATGGATTCAATTTGTGACCAGTCCTCAGGGAATCTCCTTCCAAGTCATCTCCACAGGGAGGATGCTGCTGTATCTGACAGCATCTGAATATTGACTGTAAGCTATACAGTTTCACAAGCCCTTCCTGGGTTATATTTTTAACTTTCTGCTCCTCAGACCTTTTCCGAGTGTGACGTACAACACTCGGGCAGCACTACCATTGATCTGCTCGCCTCCTACACGAGAAATCTTGCTGTGCACAACATGAGGTGTTTGGTAAATGCTTCAGAAAGCTGTGATGGAGCTTCTCAAGAAGTGACATCATTGGTGCAGCGATAAATCATCCCTAGATTAGGTTCAGTAATCGTTGCCAATTTGATGGCTTTTAGTCTCCTTTCCTTTTTTCTCACTCTGGTACCTTTTCATTTCTTGGCTGCCGTTTCCAACTGCGACTCACGCAGCGTATTTACTACAGAGCATGCTGTTCTGTGACAGCAACAACATCTCGTGGAATATTATTTTCACCATGAAATCTGGTCGTTTATGTGAATCTGCAGCACTGACGCGGAACTTTGTCAGCACTGCGTTTCGGCTCCATTTCCTCTGAATGTTTATTTAGTAAGGAGTGTACACAAGTCGAGCAGCTGGGAGTGGGGACTGTATTGATTGAAAATGAGGATGGTGTGTGCTGGAGGACAGATGGTTCAGGCCTTCATTCTGTGGTCATGATCATATCCTGTGCACGCTTCACAATCTGTTCGAGCTTGCAGTTGGGTTTGTTGTTAACTCTTGTTGGGCTTGTTTGTATTTTTTCTAAAGAGCATCCGGTAAATCTGTTATCCAGTTTGTCACTTTCATGTAGCATCTCTACTTCCATTTGTCTGATAAAGAAAAGGAGCAAACGGATCAATTGTAGCTAATGGACCGTGATGCTCATTAAACTGATCCTTGCAAATGCAATCATAACTGCACTTAGAGTGTGTGTGGCACTTGTCTGATGAAAGTGAGTCACAGCAGTGAATGAACTTCCAGTTTCACAGATTATTGCTAACTAACAGTGTCATTCTGATTCTTTACAGGCAGAGGCTGGGTATTCAAAAGATGGGTGCAATAACAACAAAGACTAAAGCTGTTTAGAGTGACCCGTGTATTCTTTGAGAGATGAATTGCCACATTATTTATCACACAAAATGAAAAGGATGGCTCATAAACCGTGAAGTAAAACTCCTCATTTAGCTGGATTGGGTGCTACCGCCTAACTTGAAGTATGAAGGTGGTTCTTGTTAGCTAATATTAGCACACTTTAGGTATATAACACTGCTGTGTAAGTGTAGTTTATATACCACCTGTGACTCTTTTAAAGCCTTTCATCTTCAAAAATTGAAACTTATTTGTTAAGCAGATGAAGTTTACATGTAATAAAATGTGCTTTTACAATGGAGTTTTTAGCTAAATGCTAAATATTAACATGTTAAGATAATGCTAAATTAGCATTAGTTTAAATACTATGGCTGACACATTGTAAGTGATGCTCATCTGTATTTCCCATTAGATATGGTCCATTGCTGATGGCTCAGTCTGAGCTGTTCGTGACGAGAGCTTCCCCTGTGGAGGCGAGGCCCATGGAGCTAGATGTTCTGGGGTTCCTGCAACGTTTTGGGGATGAAAACAGCACAGCTGAGAGATGCTACCGCTCGCACTCCCACAGCAGCGTCCTCCAGGGTCTGCCATTTGGTGGGGTTCCCACGGTCCTCGTCATCAATGTCGTAATCTGGATGGTAAAGACTCAACCAAACTAACTAACACTCAATATTACTACACAATAATACAGAGCTTCCCAAAGTGTGGGGCCCGCCCCCTAGGGGGGGCGCAGAGCCATTGCATCGGGGGCGCGGTATGAAAAGGGGGAAAAAAAAAATGCTTGGACACTGCTAGCACAGGGCGCCCGAATATGCTGAATATGTTTCCAAAACAACTACTAACTACTCCTACATTTTGGAGATGTTAGCTCTTTATACAGTAAAGTTACAGTGGGATACAAATAATATCAGGCTCATCCTGCCACGATTTGTCCCCCCGGTTCAAATCACGGACAAACAGTATCCCACAGCTGTTTATGTTTTTGAACCCATTTTGCACAGAGAGGTATTTTTTTTTTTTTGAAAAATGTATTGATATGTTGAATATTATTACACAGGAAAAAACAACTACATGTAAAATAATGACACCGTGACGCCTCTGCCTTTCTAAATGGAGGGACAGTAACTGCGTGTGTGTATGTAAGCCTGTAAAACCTGAAGATAGTCAGATTAACAGTATTTTGTTTCTATCTGCCATTCTGCAATTCCTCTCATGTAAACAATAACGTGGCGCACAGCTGACGTGAAAAAAGGCACATACCTTTGACGTTGCGTGACGAACTCTGTATTCCTCGTCCACACGTTAACGCAAAAAAAGGATTTAAAAAAATCTCAGTTATCGGTGATTCAAAACGCCGTTTACGTGTGGACGAAACAGCTGCGTTTTCAAAAATACCCGTGTAGGTGCGGACGTAGCGTAAAAGAGTTAGTAGTTTATTTTATTACTACCTGCAGATTACTTGTATTTGCTTAATTGTTTACTAAATGTTTGAGGTGTGAAATAAACTGCAATGGAGCAAAATATGGGCGTGTGTGGTTGGAGGATGTGTTTGTGCGTGCGCGCGCACCCGGGGGGCCGCGAACATTTTTCTTGTAAAACAAAGAGGGCCCAGCAAAAAAAGTTTGGGAACCGCTGCAATCATACAACAAAGTCACAGTAGCATGCAAAAGTCTTGAGCCACCCTTCATGTCATTGCATTTTCTTTCCAAGGAGCCAGACTTTTCGTCATTTTTATTACGTTGGTCCTGAGTAATAGTTACCTGAGCTTTGTGAAGGTCTCTGGGCTTTTTTGGCTGATTTTTCACTCATTATTAGTCCCATTTTGTACCCAATCATTTTCCAACTCATGTTTTTTTTTGTTTGCTAAACCACTTAACAGTAACCTATGAGTCATTCAAAGCATAGAAAAGGCACCTAACTCAATAGATGAGCCAGTGTTGTGTCTAGATATTACAGATAGCTTAGCAAGGAAGCAATTTTAAATGGTATCTTTAGGCAACAACAGAATTTGTTCCCATTTCTTTATCTGAATTTATGAAAAATGCCAAAGATAATACAGTTTGACAGGCATTAAATCTTATTTTTGCATCAACAAGGTTATTCCCAAAGAGTTATTAGCTGGAAAACCTGACATGAATCAGCGTGGTGTCCAGTGTGTCCTTATAAAATCTGATAAAACTGGGCAAGTGGAGGAAAAAAGAACAGGTAGCAGATGAATAGCGTTCACTGAGATGCATCTGGCCCTTGAGTTGATCCATCTACTGTTTGCTAAATGGTCTCAGTGAAAGGGTGGCTGTGAAGAAGCCATTCTTATGGAAGGGAATCAGGGAGAAAAGGCTGAAATATGCCAAATTATACAAGAACTAGACTAAAAAAATCAGTGATAACAGGTCTGAATTGATGAATCCCAATTTAGTTCAAATCACTGTGAATAGTTGACCTCCTAACTCTTTCATGGCATGCATTTTAAATTTGTCTTTGCTATTTTCTTTTACCTAATTTTTGTTTCTGATTAAAGTTAGATCCACACATGAGGACATTCACTTTAAATTTCGATAGAACAGTTGCAGTATATGTCCTCGTAAGTGGATATCAGGCCCTTGTAGAGCAAAATGTAGTATTTTCTTCTAGACAACCCAAAATGTGATGTCCACATATGTGGACACCAGGTCCTAGGAGGTTAAGGTGGTGTTCAGAAGAGAGTTAATGTCTACAGCCACCTATAAAATGTAGAGGAGGCTCGGTCATGGATTGAGGGTCTATTTTAGCCGGTGGTGATAGGGACGGATTTATGAACATAGAAAAGTATTGTCAGACAATACGGCAACACCTTCTTTTTTCAGCATGACACTGATCCCAAACACACTGCCAGGGGCCATACTTGGATACAAGAACACACAATGGAAAACTGTCAGTCATGGATTAGCCTCCCCACAGCCTGGGCATCAACATTACTGAACAGTGTGAGATCATTTTGACAGAGAATGAAACAAAAATATACTTTATTTCCACATATGTTTGCGCAAGTTTCTGTAAATACACCTATTTCCAATTTTCATGCAAAGTATAAAGACATTAGGAAATCCCAAGGTTTTTGCACAATACTGTAACTCTGTAGCGTCATGGCAAATTGAGAGATAAACTTATTTCAAGTCCTATGTTGATATTATCTATTCCTATATTGATTAATCTACTCACTATTCCCTTTTTGTCCAGCAGAAAGTAAACAGTGATTTGTCTCACAGCTAATATTGTTCAGAGACTTTTTCTCTGAGCGTGAAAAAAACAGAATATCTTTATATTCGAGAAACTGAAACAGTGGAGTTTTGTATGAAAATAAAAATGAGATTCTTGAAAGTTATTCTTTCCCAAATTATAAATCCTTCAGCTTTGGTAAAAGCACATAAACATCTTCCAGTTTATAATATTTGTGTCACCTTCCCCTTTTGTATATTTAGAGCCAAAATCCGTAACATCTGCACTAAACTACCTAATCTTACAACTCTGACAAGGTCAGTAGCAAGTTGTGGGAATTACTATATCCTGTATAACATTTTGCATATGGAGTCTTTTGCATAATTATTGTGATCTGTGCATGCACAATCTATAATCCAAATGGAAGTAAAAGCACTGAAAAAATAAAAACCTTCAATTGCTGCAGGACCAGGATAACACCACTACCTTTACTCAACCTACCATAGCTTTTCAAACCTATCCACCGTGTACGGAGGTTGACCCAAACGCAGGACTCCAAAGATAAAAGGTTAACTCAAAAGGCAGCTTCAATGTTGAACTCCTACAAAGATACAAAAGAAATGCAGGACAGGAGTAAAAAATCCAAAAACAGATAATCTTCAAGGAGAACATGATACTAGGAAAGACACGGCCACAAGGAAAACTTGACAAAGGACAAAGGGAGACAATAACTAATGAGGGCAGAAAAAACAGGTGGGAATTTCAAAAGCAAATAAGTAATAACAAAACAAGGGAAGTAACACTCAACATATAACACGCATGAGAGGAGAAACTTTCACAATAAAACAGGAAATCTAACTAACACCGAGACAGTCTCTCAACACAAAATTGACACAGACAAAAAGGTAAACAAACACAGAGACACGACTGACTTCACAAAGGAGACACAACAGGACAAAACCCAGAGAAGAAACTAAGGGAACAGAAAGGGAACAGACAGGGAACCAGTGAACCAAAAGTCATCTATAACTAGCCTAGAGACACAAATAGGGAACCATTAACAATAAGAAAATAACAGAATACAAATAATAAAAATCACAAGGAAACTACCAAAACTCAAAATCCTGGGTCACACATCAGGGACCCAACTCCATTAGTTTTGTTTTTTCTTTTTAAAAAGCTCTTAAACAGGATATAAACCAGTCTCCCTGGTGACAAACTTGTGATCCAAAGCTTGACTCCCACTTGTTCCGCATGATCATTCAACAAACAAGGAGCATCAGGAGGATATCAAACACTGATTCATGTGTCCTGGAAAAGCTAGAAACACACAGAAAGCTTCATGTTTTTTACTAATTGCATGACATCCCATTGATTATGCAAATTTCAAACCAAAACTCTTACAATTGCATGTAACGTCAAAGAGTCGTGACTTGTTTTGTTACCACCACTCCAACCTCCTTCTGTAGACTTTGTTACTCTTTAAAAATTGAATTTGCACTACAGCCCACTTGTCTGAAATAAACCAAAGGCTGGGGCAAACTGCGCTGTCCTATCAACTAAAGGCTAAATGCCAAAAATAGAACTTTAAAAAAAAAACAAAGGAAAACCTTTTCTGTGTGTCTAATATTGCTACAGTGCGTGCGTGAGGGGCCTGAACCAAAAGGTCATCCTGTGCGCATATTTGCGGCACCAGCAGCATCTTACAGAACAGCAGTAATTGACGCCCAAGGACAGAGCCTTTTGAACAGAGATCTCCGATGTTGTTCCCGGGATCTGCTGGAGCCACTCGCCTAGCTTGGGAGTCACCGCACCTAGTGCTCCGATTACCACAGGGACCACTTATTTTTATATATATATATATATATATATATATATATATATATATATATATATATATATATATACATGCATGCATGCATGCAGAATCACCATTCAAGTTATTTATTAGGACAGTCAAAATGTGGTGTAGGCGTGAATGTCAGTGATAATGGCTTAAAGCATTTTTAATTTGTAGTTCTCTTCAGGAAAAGGCTGGAAAAATAAACCCAAACTAAACCAGCGCCTTGCAAAAAACAAAACAAAAGCTCAATGCTTTCTGTTTGTCTCCTCATTGTCTGGGTTTTGCATAATTATGTACAAGAACAGAGAGAAATACAAACACATTATGTACATGTCATAGACGTCAAGTTAAATCTGCACATTTTAACGTCCTTTTTTGCAAAGAATAATACAGCGTGCGCACTGTTTACAAACACAGATGCATTTCTTTTCCTCCCGTGTTCCAGATAATAATAGGCTTCCATTTTCAGCTGTCAGCTAACTCAGTTCCACTGTCAGGCCTCGTCAGGCTTGATCTCTGCGCTGATAGGACTTCTCCATCTGCCACCTCCATGTTTTAATTGGCTCATTTTTATCAATGCCTGGTTGTCAAGCCAACAGCGAAGGTTGAGCGCTGTCTCTTAATGACGAGCATGAGTCAAAGCGTGCTTCCCCCCAGGTGACGGGAGCACGCCTCTGCATCAATTCCATCATCATACAGAATAAATCATCAGTGGGACTTGAGGAGAGCGTGCCCACGCATAAAGACAGAATAAACCGAAACAACTGGGAAGAGCTGGGCCAAAACGAGATAATGGAGAGATTCTTATTGTGCCCTGACTGCTAATGTAAACACAGGCTGTTTATTCATCTACAAGCCCCAGTCAAGTCCTCTTGATTGTCATTGCATGGCTTTAGAGTGAATCATTCGACATTCATGGGCGCTTTCTTCCTATTAGCACAGCTGTCACCCCTTATCCACTAAACCTAATGTCTTTTCAGTTCAAATGAGGTAATAATTTAATTGCTGCAATTAAAATCAAACAGTCATCACCACTAGGGCTGGGCCATATTATACCGTTCACGGTAATACCGGTATAATGTTAGGCAACGATAGGAAAATGAAATATCGCGATAGAATATGAGTAAAACGCGCATGCGCAGTGTTTTTGTTTTCATACGCACATGGCCGATTGTTGAGTGAAACAGATGAACCAGAATTGGTTTGTAAAAATGGTGCAACTTCAGTGATGTGGAACTGGTTTGGTGTTTGTCCGTCAGATACACGACAAAGCACATATTTTTGCAGAACATGCAAGCGGCCGTCGTTATTGTCGTATTTGTCGGACTAAGATGCTCTTAAATCTGGGAGTAATCTGGGTCCTAAACTCCTTATTCTTCAGGTCAAACAACACTGCAGCATCACTTAGAGTTAAAAACTGTCTAAATTCTTTCATCTTTAATAAAACGATCAGCATTGCTGCTTTACCAGGTGTAACTATGAAGTTTAACTTCCAGGCATCCATGAAAACAAAATGTATTACATTTAACGGAGTTAGAAGCTAGCAGGAAGCTAGCGGAAGTTAGCTCGCTAGTTTCGCTAGTTACCTAAACATGATATTGCATGTTCTGACTGAGAGATTTCTGAAAAAATTCAAACGTACAGCTCTGCTATCACTTCCAACATAAATGAAGACAGGAAACTAAACAGCAGTGACGTTTGTAGGGTTACTGAAGTTGGGCTAGCTGGTATATAATTATGTGCTACGTGATCGCTAGCAACACAGCTATGTTAGCATAACATAAACAGTGAAGCTGGAGGACGAACACTAACACTTTTCCACTTATAAAAGTTAACGTTAAGGTTCCTCATGGTTAGAGACAAATGCAATCGCATGGCAGGATGCTGTAAAAGGACCAAACTTCAGTCAGGAGAACAACTGAGATAATGCATCCACAATACGAGGTTAGTCATTAATATACTGCAACAACATGGGAATAGAGCAGCTGCCAGAGAATTCAACATTAATGAATTAATGGTACAGAAGTGGAGGAAGCAAGAAGAATGAGTTTAATAAAGTTTGATTTATCTGACTGCTTTGTTTCGCTTAATGTGCCTTATAATCCCGTGCACCTTATGGTCCGAAAAATACGTACTGCACACTGCAGTTTAATGTTGCAAAGCACCTCTTTTTAACTTAAGTGGATATTATACATGGTTATGCTCAGGATATGTCAGCCCATTTCTACTGGAAATGCCTTTTGGTTAAACTTTCAGCAAGGAATTTGCATTTGCACTGTTACATTTTATAAAGCTTTAATGTACATAAAAACCAGCTTCTTGTTTAATTTTTAAGTGAAAATAAATGATAGGTTGTCTTTTTGCGCTAGTAATGTTGTGGAGTTGTATTTTGTCTCGCATCAATTATATCGTCGGTTATATCGTTATCGCAAATTTTCAAATATATATCGTGATAAATATTTTTGGCCATATCGCCCTGCTCTAATCACCACTTTTACTGCGTTTGTCAACCTTCATCCATCACGGTCCAGTTATGCTCAATGATATTTCATCAGGGAAGCTCAGCACAAATCCACTATTGTACAGGATTGAATAGGGTTTTATTTTGGACCTCATTGTTGTGCTCAGTTTGCTCTCCATTTGTGGAAAATGGGAGGTATTCAGCTTGACCGCGCTCATTTTTTTCCTCACTGAACAGCATATGTCCGCGTGTGCTCGCTGATCTATTTCTGGACCACATAGCATACAGACAAAAAATGCTTCATTAATGCTGTGGCATTTTGAATCTGTTGTTGTAGACTGCTTTTTCGAGTGATTTTAGACAGAATCAAGGAGATATTTTATCTAGAGTATAATGAGGACAGAGACTGTGTAAAATTGTTTTTCTGTGTTTGTAGTTTTTACTGCTGATCTTCTCATGTCTGAGGAAAGCTGCTTGGGACTACGGCCGCCTGGCTCTGCTGATGGAGAATGACAGGTAAATCTCTCACTCAACAATATCAGTTAAACTCTGACAGCTATGGCAACTTTTAACATGTAGTAAGAAGCCTCAGTGGAGAGAGAGAATTGATGCTCTAGCTCCCTCTGCTGCATGTAAGTGGTGGCAAACTGCCTTGCTATACTTGAAACACTGATAATACTTTACTGTATTTGTTTTATATTAACAGTGAAAGTAAAATTTCATGGGATGGTCAGAATTTATTCTTCGCTTAATTCTCTATTGAATGGAAACACTGATTTGGACATTTAAGCATGTTATCTATCTTATATCCACACCTATGGTCAATTTAGAATAACCAGCTCACTTAACACTGTTAATGTTTTCCATCCAGGTTCATGCAACACTCTGCAGCAGTTTTCTTTGTGCTCGCTCCGAATCTCCTCTTCAGGGGAATGTGGGCTCGATTAGTCCTGCCTGACCGACGATGCCCTCGTAGCACTTGAGGGCAAGCAGCATCTGTTCTCTTTGCCAAGCGGTCGTCTCTCATTGTAATTCAATTACCCTGCTTAATTTGACATCCTGTTGAACTGTCAGTGTTATAGCCCACAGAGACAATCCACAAATTCAACTGCTGCACTTGTTTCACCATGTGAACTGGACCACATGTTATATTATTTTAATGTCTTCTGTGTATGCACAGATTGATCCCAGATGGGTACAGGGACTGCAGCAATTACGGTACATCTTGGTGTATTAATAAAGCCATGTCCGGCTATGATCACCAGGATTCTGTTTCTTTGTGTGTATTCTTCCTTATGCAGTCTCACATCCCTGTTTTATGGAGAACCAAGTGAGAAAGAGAAGTCGCCTTCAGAATCCAGTCCCTCTGACTCTGAGACCAAGGACATGGTATGCTCAAATCTTATCTTACATTTTTCAAAGGATACCTCATAATTTATTTCCCGTGTTGCAACATTCTTGTTGTTCTTCTGCTCCTGCTTCTTCTTCTTCTGCTTCTGCATTTCAGGTGTGTTTTTATTTCACATCATCAGACTAGTTTAAAGCCACAGCAGACAGTTGTTTTCAGTTTCTGGCAGAAGTTATGACGAACACACCGCATACTCATGTACCAAATAAGAGATGAGCTGTTGAACATAGTGGAAAAACTAGCAGTAAAATATTTTATGTGCTTATTAGGGGTTTGGAGAGTTAGCAGTCAGCAGTCACATGTGATAAATTAAAGCTGGTGAATGTGTAAAACACACTTGCCAAACGTTGGTCAGTTCTTTGGTTATTTCATGCTTCTAAATAAGCAGTTTTTGCTGACTCTGAGCTAGTAAACTGGATTACCGGCCCAGAAAAGAGCAGTGCCTCATCTTTGTTGAAAGAAGCTCCCCTTAATCTTCTGTTCTGACCACGAAGAAGCTTTGCCATGGAATTTTTTCTCTGGACAATCTAGGTCAAAATACATGCAGTCATGTGGTGGGGAAAAAGGAAGATGTGAGCTAACTTCTCAGGAGTGGACATCCCAACAAATTAAACCCAAGGTCAGAGTACATGACAGTACAATTAGACACAAAGCTGAGCAAGTCTGTCTCGTTCAGACGGTTTGCCAGGAGAAAGCCCCTCTTCTGTAAAAAGAACGTAAACAGCCTGGGTTAGGTTTGCAAAATTGCATCCGATGAAACCGCAAGACTTTTGGAACAATGTCCTTTGAACAAATGAGGCCAAAATGGAGATGTTTGGAAATAATGCACGGTGCCACATTTAGAGAAAAATACAAATGCCTCTTACCAGCTGTCAAACATGGTGGTGGAGGGGTGATGATTTGGGTTTGTTTTGCAACCTCAGGACCTGGGCAGGACCATGAACTTCTCTGTATACCAGAGTACTAGAGTCAAATGTCAGGACGTCTGTTTGACAGCTATAGCTTGGCCCAAATTGTGACAAAACACGTGACAAGACAATGATCCCAAGCACAGCAGCAAATCTGCAAAAGAATGAGTGAAAAAGAAAAGAGTGAAAGTCGTCCAGTCGAACTCAAGACCTCAACCCAACTGAAATCCTGTGGTGGGATCTTCAGAGAGCTGCAAATAAAAGAATGCCCACAAACGTCAATCAACTGAAGCAACATTGTAAGAAAAAAAGAGGGCAAAAGTCCATACAGGATGATGTGAAATACTGATGAAGTCATGTTGTTGAACTAAAGCTACTAAATCAGATGGTGTACTTAATTTTTCACTGTGAATTTTTTTTCTGCAAAGCACTGGAAACCAGGAAGGGGGCTCATAATGGGATAATCAATACAATCAATACAATAGTATCGGAGTACTCTGCATCAGAAACCCCACTAATGCAAAAAGCATTTAAGTATTATCAACAAAGATCTGGATGCTTAACATGAATGAATGTGCTGTGTGACTGTCGTAGAATTAGATACTATATCATCTGAATATTGTCACTCATGCATTAATGTATAAGTAGGCGTTTATTATTAGCAGCAAATCAACTGGTGCTCATTTCGAATGTTTCGTATCCAGCTGCACCGAATGAATGTTTTCACTGTGGATTAATCTGCCAATTATTTTATTTTTGCGAGATGTCATTAGGCACGCTAAACAATTATTGCAAATGTTTTGGTAATTGATTCACTTGACTTACTGGCTAACAGATGAATGAGTTCATATGTGCTTGTATAAATTGTTGAGCAGCTGAATTCATAACAAAACATTAACATTTTAAGCTTTTTATGTGTTTGCGTGCAAAAATCATGATTTAAAAAGTATCTAGTAACTAAAAGAGTCAGATAACTGTAGCAGGAAAAAAGTCATTGAAGTGACATATAGCAGAGAAGAATCAAAAGAGGCTAAAATTTGTACTTAAGCACAGAAAGCTGCTTGACTAAATGCACTTAGTTCCAGTTCACAACTGCACTGAAAAGCTGCAGCTGACCCTTTCCACGTGTCTCTCTCTTGATCAGTGACCCATGTTCAGCTTTATGTTTGTGGCGTGCATGTGTATTCTCATGCATTTGGCGGCAAAACACATCCAAACAAAAACATCAGTCTGCTCACCGAATGGCTCTACAGTGCCACTAGTGGTTAAAAATACCACAGCATATTTTTATGCACTATAATAGTGTAATTAGGGCAAAGAGGCACCGTGTTTGAGGAGGAAAAGGGCAGATTCCAGTCATCGTTACACTGCAAATTATGAAGGAGAGGGCCTCATTTTAAAGAAACACTATCATTACCAATAACATTGATGTTAGACAGTCTGCCAGTCTTCCTGATTATGTTCTTGTGTATTTACACTAATTATACCAAGGTGTCACAGTTAATTTCCCAGTGATATACTGATGTCTAAAAAAGCTCCATCCTGAGCTTCCATAATAAGTCCTCAAGTCGTCACCACCAAGATGGCACCAAGTCAACAGTTGTAAGAGGAAAGTTTGGATCATTACTCAGCGGGTCTGTCTCTGACTCCATGGCACCTGAGTGATAGACTGAGGTCATTCCCTGCATGTTTATAGCAGTGTAAGTCAAAGAGTCAGACTGGAGTCATCGTGCTGTGCCTGCACACAGCTGAGACTGCAGTAAACTGATTACAGCTCCAGACCTATTAAATCTCCATCTCTGTGTCACTTTGCAGACCGTGTTACTATTCAAATGGAGGTTGAGTACAAGTCACCAGATATATAACTGCCGAAACGTGTAATATGTCTTCAATAACCAGTTCACTGGCTGTTTTATGATTCTTTTTTTCAGGGCTTCTGCTCATGGCTGTCATCGCTTTACCATATGAAGTAAGTAAACCTAAAGCAGCTGCTCCTATAATTGTTTCATCCTCCTCTCATCTTGGCTTCCAACCCTTCGCCAGCCTGTTGTCTTCAAAGCTGATGTCACCATTGAACGTGAAAGTCTGGTCTTATATCTCACTTAGCAAAGAAAATGTTTAAAAAAAACAAAAGAGTCTAGGCTCATGCGACCGCTGGTGCCACGGTTTCCTGTTGAATATTTGCACTTGCTCGGGTCTCGACTCCACACAACAGATTTAGAGCTATAAAAAAGCAATTTCGGTGGTATCCATGGTTTCCATAGTATTATGGTGGAGTTTGGGTGCTTCTGTTTTTAGCTCTCCTTTGCCAGTGGCTCACCCTGGGATCCCAGGCGAAGTGCAAACCCACCCTGTGAGTTCTCGATGTGTGGGCTACCATGAGACCAACGTGCACTTCTTTTCTTTCATGCCTTTTTTTCTATTTTATGACACTGGGTTTCCTGAACCTCCCTGATCTGGTAACCACAGATTCTGACACCAAAGTAGTGGTGCCACAGTTTTTTACTCAGGATGAGGTAGAAGCTGTGAGGGTCATTTTTATCCAGGTTCGGCCTGTATGGAGCCACTGCCACATGAAGAAAAATGTGCATGTTTATCACGCTGCGTGGAAAACCTCTGAGATTCTGAGAATGCATCTTCTTTGTTCTGTTGCAGGGATGAGGAGATCCGAAGTAAATGTGGCATTGATGCCGTGACATATTTGTCCTTCCAGCGCCACATCATCCTGCTCATGACAGTGGTTACCCTGCTGTCTTTGGCTGTAATCCTGCCGGTCAACATTTCCGGGAACCTCCTGGGTATTTTGGTCTTGAAGTGATGGTCTAGCTAGCTCACCGAAAAGTCAAGGGATATCCTTAACCTCCGATAACAACACACCGGACTCTTCATAAAAAGAGAAGTTCGGTTAAATGCACATAAACTTTATCTTTTAACAATTCATGGTACAGCTGAGTTTAAAACAACCCGATCTCTTTCAAAACTTGGAACAAGTCAAAAGGTCAGTGAAACCAAAATAAACACTGATTACATGCACAAAGGCTGCACTTCATCTAAAGGGAGTCACTGGCACACCAGTGGCAAGTCATCAAGCACTTGCCCAAGTCTGATTATAGAAATAGAAAGTGCTTAATTTCCTCTTAACATACACATGTAGGTGCCAGGGGTGGGGCGACACACTAAACAGGCTGCTAAATAGCAACAGAAATGCCTTTTTGGCAGTTGTGTGCTTATTTTGTAGGAAGTGTTGAGGAAGCCTTTCCACTACAGGATGAAGTCTATGAGGAGTGGGGCTGTCCACAGTAATGTTTTTATTACTGGTGGTTGTCACCATCATTAAATAAAATGGCCAACACCCATAGGCAGGCTGCCATGGTGACGGCAAACAAAGGGTTCCCAAGTTAAAACAGCGCAGTTAGGCATGTTTGAACTTGAACTTCATTGAGATGGCTGATATTTCATTTGACTGGATGGAAAACATTTTAGTATTGCTTCATTTCTTGGCCTCTCCCAGACAAAAGAGGGGAGGGGCTTCCTTTTAAGTCATTACAGAAATTAAAACGTCTCACTTTGTGTCACGTTTTATTATCTCTACAGGAGACAGTCCTGAAAACTTTGGAAGAACAACCCTGGCGAATGTTAGTGCAAAGTAAGTCCAGCAATGCAGGCATGACATCAGATCTCATGAAGCATCCCAGAGCCGCGAGCAAACCTGGGCAAATCTGTAATTGCTCTGTTTATGTTCCTTGAAGGGACAGCTTTCTGTGGCTGCACAGCGTCTTGGCTCTGGTTTACTTCATTATCACGTTGCTGTGTATGGCTCACCATTCGCTGCAGCTGGAATACAGAGAAGATGAGAAGGTCTGTCATCATCCAGTCACACTTTATACCATCAAGGTCCATCCAGCAAAAGATAAAGTCAAATTATTGAGATTCTAACCAAAAGGTCTTTTTTATTGTTTCAAAAATCAAATACAAGAAAAAATAACACAGCAAAAATATTTTAAAACAAAATTAAATGTAAAGACCGACGTGCTCTGGATTTCTGGCTTCTCCCTAGGTGCTGCATTCCTCTGTTAAATGCAGAGAATAGGGCGTTCCATTGGTGATCAATAATGATATCATTGTTTTTTATTATTCATTTGTCTTCAGAGAATAAGACTATAAAGATCTATAAAAGGATTCTGCAAACCACCAACTATTCACCCACTTAGTTTGGCATGTTAGCATGCCTGCGTTCTCTGATTAGTGCAGTTAGGACTGATGGGTTTGTCATTACTATTAACATTTCATCAGAAACTAAAGAAATGGAAAAAGGAATAAGTACTCTTGTATTAAAAGAAATCGATTTATGGATCATCCTGAGAAGTTTTAAGTCAAAGTCCTATGGCAGTCCATCTGAAAGTTAATGAAACTTTTCCTTCCTTAACATGTAAACCTTAACAATGAAACTGCGATTGATCTCTGTGGATCAGAGAAGTTTACTACTATATAGGCAACAACCTGGCATTGGCTTCCCTAGAGCCGTTAAAAGAAAGTATAACGGATGTATTTATATTGTGTTATTTATTACAGGTGGCTCGGACACTGATGATTACCTCCATACCCAAGGAGATCTCTGACCCAGGACTCATCACCAAACATTTCCAGTACACATGTTTTCTTCATTAGATTAAATAATCTTCCTGTGTTTGATTGGAGAGCTGTCTATCATTTTATTCATGCACATCCACACTTAGAAAATTCCTTATAATGAACATTTTTTCTTGTTTTCACCAGTGAGGCCTACCCAAGCTGCACTGTCACCGACATCCGGTTCTGCTTTGACGTCCACAAGCTAATGAGGCTGGACTTGGAGAGGTACGGCGGCTTTTACGGACTGGAGCATCACAGTTTTTGATCATATGGTTCTTGTCTGAGGACACTGTCGTTTTTCAGGCGCAAGGCAATGAAAGGCAGGCTGTATTTTGCCACAAAGGCCCAGAAGGAGGGAAAAATCATGATCAAGACTCATCCGTGTGCTCAGATCTTCTGCTGTGACGTCTGCGGCTTTGAAAAGGTAAGATTTGTTCATATCCTTCTGTGTACAGTTGCAACTTAATTGCACTGCATGGGAAGAGAATCACCACTGGATGGCACTGCGATGCAAAAATAGGTAAACACAAGCAGCAATGTGATATTTTTGCCAGTGTAAATCTGAGAGTGAAAGATGAAGTGAGCAAATATCCTTTAACTCTTTTTTTTTCTGCAGGTGGATGCAGAGCAATACTACAGTGAATTAGAAGAGAAGCGGACAGATGAGTTTAATGCTGAGAAGAACCGCATCACCATGAAGAGGTTGGGCATCGCCTTTGTGACCTTTCGCGATGAGCGGATGACTGCTGTGTGAGTAAACAAGAGCGTGACACTGAGGTCTGTGTTTGATAGGTTCTCTCATCATACAGATGCAGTCACGGCAGAGAGTGACCACATAATTCATGGTAACGTTGCTGAGTAGTGATGCAATGCCTTTTGAACATCTTGTTTTGGTTTCCAGCATTGTGAAGGACTACGGTCGCGTGAACTGTCGTCGCAGGCCCCAGCAGTCCAGCATCAGCACCGTGGTGCAGTCGCACAAATGGGACGTCAGCTACGCACCTGCTCCAAGTGATATTATATGGTGAGAACTGTCACGTTTGTTTGTGCCCTAATGTCTTTTAAAAGCTCAAGCTACTCTTGGATTTTCTCCTGATTGTCTTTGAAGTCTCAGTTTTCCAAATTGACAGCTGTGTGAGTCATTCTGATCTCTTCATATCGCCATGGTGACCTATTCCAGCACACACGCTGGGTACACCCTGGGCAGACACCCATTCACATCTACACCACGAGAAATGTATTAATCTAACCTGCTTGTCTACTGACTGTGGTAGGAAGCTGGAGCAGCCAAAGGAAATCACACAGAAACACATTTTGAGCACAATGTCCAATTTTACATTACTTGTGCATCATTTAGACACATTTCCCTGTAATTATGCCTGACATATTTGGTATCTCTGGTAACCTGTGGATCAAGACTAGACTTCAGATCAACATTCTGTGGGTTTTAGTCATGCTTGTTTGTGCAGCTTTAGCTTGTGAAGTTGGACCTAAAGGGTCCAATTTAGAGCTGAGGTATGCATCATGCAAATGTTGCTTATTGAGACTATTTGATCCCAGTGTTGCTTTTGATACTTTTGATCACCGTAATTTTGGTTTTAGAAGCTCGGGCAGTTGGTGGAACAGCTTTGATGTGGTTCTTCTCATAACTCTCAGGCAGACCTTTGTTGCTTAGTGGTTGTAATAACTCTGTATAGCTGTATTTCTGTCTTGTGGTGTTCCCCAAGTTTCTGTTGCGGGCCCCATGCTAATTGTACTTTGTGTCTATCAACCAAATATAAAGTCACTTTTAAAGTCTACCGTCAGTGTCATATGTATGATGTGTTTGTTTAAGTTTCTGAATGTTCCAAAAGTTTCTGTTCTGCTGAATACTTTTCTACAGCTGAATAGTGACAAACAGAGGTTATATCCATCCCACAGGTGATGAAAGGCTTGGCTCTTTATGGTATTATGTTAAACTTTGGTTCTGAATCTGTACCCTGTGTAGTACTTAGTGAAGCTTTGAGTCACTCCTTTTACTACCAGCTATGAAACATGGCTAAAATTAAGTCTGTACAACATTTTCCTTGTTGGTGTTATAACTGCAATCAGACAGCAACGTAACGTGTACTCCAGCAGACTCACCAGACCTTTTTTTTCTTCCAGTAAATAAGGTTTCTCGCTCGCTCTCTCATTGTGTGTTACATGTTGAGCTTATGTGTGTGGGCCACTGGACAGCTGATGCTGATTTCTTTACACTGGCTTCTGATCAGACTCAAAATTTGGTTCTTGTGATGATGTTTTGAGCCTTGCATGGACAGGAACTCACTCATATTAAAGACCTGTTGCAGACACATAATACCAGTGGGAATGTGAGGGCCTTGGATCAGGCCTTGATAGCTGTTTCCACACAAGGCTCAAGGCAAAAGGACTCGATGCTTCTTTGGCTGTGGACCCCACTGGAATCAACTGGACTCTGAAAGAATCATTAGTTTAAATTTGCTTTTGTTCATTTGTTTTAGTTCTTCTATTTTTAAATCCTCCTGGTTTTATCTGACTGTCAGTGTTTAAATTCTCCTGTTGTGTTTGCTTTTTAGTTATCCACCATCTCTTGAAAGGCACTATGTAAATAACACAAAATGTGGATGTTTCAGCGATCGGTGCCTGCATTAGCATTGCTATTCCTGCTTCTTTTTCATAAGTTTCAACTTCAAAGACATTTAAGATTATCGGTATGTTGTTTGCTGTAAGTAGCAGATCTCAAACACCGTCTAAAGCATAATCAGCATCCACGATTGGATTAGCTGCGGTGCATGTTTCTTATCTCAGAAAGCAAATGCAGAGATTATGTAACAAGTGAGTGCTGCATATGTATGGGGATTAATCAAAGGAGGCTCACAGTTTGAGCTTCACATCTGACTGACTGCAGTGTGTTTGTGTCTACGCATGAACTGTGGCAGTCGCAGGCTGAGAGGTCGAGCAGGGACTGGGAGCTGAAGTGAGCTGGTTTAAACTTGCTCTTCTACCCAGTACGCTGGACCGCTCTTAGAAGAGACCACTCATCCGGCTATTTCAGGCATATGTCAAAACATAAAGTACATGTACATCAGAGAAGGGTAATATGTTAACTGTGTTCATCTTGCTGGATGATTGGTAACTGAGGCTCGTCATTTTTCCCATCGATAGGGAAAACCTGTCAGTGTGTGGATCTCGTTGGTGGCTCCGCTGCGTCCTCCTCAACATCCTCCTCTTCTTGCTGCTCTTCTTCTTCACCACTCCTGCCATCATCGTCAACACCATGGACAAGTTCAACGTCACAAGGCCCGTGGAGAGTCTGAGGGTTAGAGTTTCAGAGCAGTTTAAACTTACTGACGTCTGTGCTCCATTGTGAACCTCCTCACTTTCATCAATCGCCATTTTGCTGTCCAATGCAGAGCCCAGTCGTTACAGAGTTCTTCCCGACCCTTCTGCTGTGGGCGTTTTCAGTGCTCCTGCCCTTTGTTGTCTACTACTCCGCCTTCTTTGAGTCCCACTGGACCAGGTATTGGGTAGTCATCAACTACTGCTCTCCTCAGCCATCTGAAATAGAAATGTGGATATTTTGCTTCGTTTACTTGCAGCGGTTTTTCTTCCTCTCAACTATCAGCGTTCCTCTTTTTTTTTCCATCTAATTTATTTCTTTTTCACCCTCTTGCTCTTTTTACTCTCTCCCCTCTCTCTCCCTCCTTCTCTCTGCCACTCTCCCTGCACTGTTATTCTGGGCAGGTTGTCATAGAGATCTCCGTGCGAGGATAATGATATGAACAGTAGTCACCGTGCACCGTTTCCTCTATGTGCGGTGACTAGCAGGAGGAAGAACAAGTGTGCATAAGAACAACCTATAAGCACCCTTTCTTTACATAACCACCCCCACAAACGTGTTGTGCAGGCGTGATGTGTGAAGGACCGAATGCAAATCAACTGTTTACTGTAGTGAAAAATGTAGTTTGTGCTAATGGGTACAAAGAGTCAACTGTTTTTTCCATTTTGGGCTTTTAATTCATGAATTTATTATGTTGTTTTTTTCTTTTTGTGGTTTTTTTTTTTTTTTTTGTGTGTGTGTGTGTGGTTTTTTTAGATATATGTTGCAAAATATGTATCGCATGTTCTCATCTTATTGGATCATTTCATGTCTCAGATCTGGTGAGAATCAAGTGACGATGCACAAGTGTTTTTTCTTGCTGGTCTTCATGGTCATCATCCTGCCTTCACTTGGTCTGTCCAGGTACATCTACAGTGATTTCCCTTTTTGATCTACTTCTTTTGAATTATTCCTGGGTTTTTGTGGCTTTTTTGTAATGTTTATGCACTTTTTCTATTTTATTTCTGCTCTAGCCTTGACCTCTTGTTCACCTGGCTCTTTGATGTCAACTTCCTGGAAGAGAAGGATTTAAAATTTCAGTAAGATCAAAAAATGTAATGAGAAGTGCAATCAAACACATTATTTCCACTCCACGATTATCTTCTTGTGCAGCTACACACTGCTATCTGCTCAGGTGCTATTTTTTAGATCACTCTGTGGAAGTAAATAAATAAATAATAACAGAATGAAATGATTTACAATTTTCACAAACTCATATTTTACTCACAATAGAACATAAAAAAATGTTTAACCTCAGAAAATATGAATTCATTTGAATTTGATGGCGGCAACGTATGTCAAAAAAATTTCTTACACCTTCTTCTTTTACTGACTTGTTGCCATTGACTTAATTAGTTGCAAAGCATTTTTCTAGCTGTTTCTTTTTAGTAGTTTTGAGATGTGTTGCTTTCATCAAATTCAAAATGAGCTAATATTTTTTTCAAATTGGGACGTTTTCCCAGTTTAAACATTTCAATATGTTTTTTTCTATTGTGAATAAATTATGGCTTTAGGAGATTTTTAAATCATTGCATTCTGGTTTTTACTGGGGTTGCAGGTAAAAAAGTTGATTTTTGCTGCAGTAATAGTTTGCGGTCCTTTGTCCAACTGTAGGACATTAGTGTTGATAATGGGGCTTTCAGCTTCATCAGAGTCCCTTCACTTGAGAGCGAGCTAAAAACAGGAAAGCACCGCACAGATGCACAAGAAGATGACTTTGAGCCAAAGTGAAATCTGATGTATATTTTTTTATTATTATTTTATTTGTTATTTGGAAATTATTTGGTTAAAACTGAGTCTCAGAAAGAATCTCCAGCAGCCCACTTCTTGTCTGTGTCTTAATGCAGGTGTGTGTTTCTTCCTGACAACGGTGCATTTTTTGTAAACTACGTAATTACATCCAGTTTGATTGGCACGGCTATGGAATTGCTACGTATCCCTGCACTGACGGTGTACGCACTGCGTCTCTGCTTTGCAAAATCCCAAGCTGAGCGGATTCATGTCAAACGGGTAAGCAGAGCCTTGGTGCTTATCTTGGCATCTTAACACGCTGTTTGGTTTAAACTTTAAGAAGCCAGCTGTGTTTATTTTGTCTCTGCAGAGTCAAGCTTATGAGTTCCAGTTTGGCCTTGAGTACGCCTGGACCATGTGTATCTTTGCTGTCAGTATGACCTACAGCATCACGTGTCCCATCATTACACCCTTTGGTGAGCAGCACACAACTACACTCTTGTAAAGCCATCTACCTCTTCTTCTCACCCTCTCTGCTCAGCCATCTGCATCCCAACACGTCCCGTCTCAGTCGTGTTTGTGTAAGGCTGTGTCTCCTCGTACTGTAACCTCACTCTCCTCTGCTGCCTGCCAGTCCGATGCAGACTGTGTGAATTTGCTGCTGTAGTCCCAGACACTCAGACACAGCGAGCTGTGAGCCAGACGCCCACTCTGCTCCTGTCTCTGCCCGGCGCTCACCGAGCTTCTATTTACTTCTGCAATCTAATCGTCAGTCAAAAACAGGCCGCCTTTAATGCACCAAACTCTGTGTCTGCTTGCATTTCACCTGCTTTTTTTCTTTCTTCTAGATTTCAGTTTTCATTTGATAAAGAAGACCAAGACAACAGATTTTTTTTTTTTTTAATTTAAAGGCAAAAAATTTAAAATTAGCTTCCAATTGATCAAAAACAGGGACTAGAACAGGGTGTAAAAAATAAGGCCCGGGGGCAAGAACCTGTTTGGCAAAAACAAAAATCTGACTCACCAAAAGGCTTTGGAAAAATTTGAATGAATGCATAAATTTCTATCTTCTAACTTTAAAACTATAAAATAAATAAGAATAATTTTCTGTGAATTAACAAAAATTTTCTTTTCCTGTAAATTTGTACATTTAACACATAGAAAAAAACAAGACACACTGTTGAAGTTGCATTTCTTTTCTTCTATTAAAGGATATCCCAGGGATTAGATGTTTAGTTAAATATCTGTCACTGGTCTGGTCTGAGTTCAAAGTTTTATGATGTAAATGAGTTTGAGGTCATATTTATCCCGTATTAGTATCTTTTAATTCCCTCTCTTAAATCCATAATTTAATTTAAAATCCTAGTCCTGACATACAAAGTCTTGAGTGCTCACATCCCATTACATCTGTCAGAACTTTTAGTATCATAAAATACAACAAATCACTTACTGCAGGTTTATTTGTTTTTCTTAGAGTTTCCAAAAGTAGAATGGGAGCCCGAGCCTTCAGCTATTTAATCCCATCAAGTCCCATTTTGGACTCAGGAAACAAACACTCTGCTTTTTGTACATCACAATCCTCATTAGATTGATCAAACCCTGTGTGTGATGTTGACATCGATCAGATAACTTTGTCTCTCTTTCATGTTGCAGACATCATCATCAGTGCATTTTTGTTTAACTTTTTTCTTCCAGGTCTGCTCTACGCGATCCTGAAGCACATGGTCGATCGATACAACATCTACTATGCTTATGTTCCCACCAAACTCAACCAGCGAATCCACAGAGCAGCCATTAGCCAGGTCATTGTAGCTCCCATTCTCTGCATGTTCTGGTTGCTCTTCTTCTCCGTGCTCCGATTAGGTAAATATCCCTGCCATAAAAATTCATAAAGATCGGTGGATTGTCAGGATGCTGTAATATTGTAATTTTTCATGTTTTTCCCCTTCACTGTCACAGGTCCAATGCATCCGATCACCCTCTTCACTTTAGTGTCCCACATCTTCTGCATTGTCTGTTACCTCCTCCGCTTGTGCCTTAGGAAGCAACCAGACAAGTCAACAAGCTACCAGGTCAGCGCCACCAAGTGTCACAGAGACAAAATCAGCTGAAGATGACTTATACTGAATTTGAACTAATATTTTTCCCATGCATTGTCTCTTTTGTTTCAGATGTCTGATCAGCCAGACGGGACGCTCACTGATGCAGACAGGAGTACCGTAACATCCACCACCGCCTCCAGTGTACAGTACCATTTCTTTCTCTGTTGGCCAATACACAACCAAAGCATATTATTGGAGAGAGACCTAAATGTGACAGAGAAGGCTTACGTTATTTAAGTTAATATATCAGTGGATTGTGTGCTGGATGAGATTTCCACTGAATGAGATTTAATTGTTTAGTTTTCCATGAGATCTGAGAGCCATATAGAATAGAATAGAATAGAATAGAATTCAACTTTATTTTCATTGCACATGCACAGGTACAGGGCAACGAAATGCAGTTTGCATCCATCCAGAAGTGCTTTAGTGATATAGATATATTACAATATATATTAGCAATAATATAGATATGTGAGTATATTACAGAAATGGGTCTATTATGGTATGTTATAATGTACACGGTATGAAGTATGTTGTGAATATTCTATAACTATAAGTATGTACAGGCTGTAGTGAGTACAAGCTATGTACAGGCTATGAACAGGATATAAATATGAAAAACTATACAGAATATGAAATAAATAACTTTACAGAATCTGAGATATACAGCTATACAGAAATGGGAACTATGCAAGTTGTAAACAGTTGTAGGATTAAAGATTATTGAATGTACAGAATGATTATTTACACGGAGCTATACAGTAGTGCAGTTAAGATAAGTGAGGGTGTAGATAGTTTCTACAGAGGCTATATAAAGTGCTAGTGGTTGTGAGTGGTGGTTCAGTCCATGTTATTATTGTGTGTTTGAGGGTACAGTTGTCCATTGTGGGTGTGTGTATGTTCAGTCCATGAGTTTAACGTGGGTCAGATGTCAGGAGGCAGAGTTCAGGAGTCTGACAGCTGTGGGGAAGAAGCTGTTCCGGTACCTGGTGGTCTTAGTCCGGAGGCTCCTGTGGCGCCTCCCAGAGGGCAGGAGGGTGAAGAGTCCATGTGATGGGTGACTGGGGTCTTTGATGATTTTCCCAGCCCTTTTCAGACACCGCTTCCTGTAGATGTCTTTTATGGCAGGAAGTATATGCTCTTATGCTCTTAAGGTTGTGAAAGAATCAACCTCAGAAGACAAGCACTGGGGTTATTCCATATAAAATCAAATATATCACTAAAAAGTTCCATCTTGACTTTATAACAACATAGTTTTTCTCTTTTTCTCTTAATTGGGACATAACAAAAACTCAACCAATATAATATCCATGACATGGGAATAGTAACAAGCTCAGGATGTTTGAACTGTTAATTCACAGGAGAAAGAAGTTGAAAGAGCTTTTTGATGAACCATCTCCATGTGGGATAGATAAGTGGTCAAAGCAAGTTATAGCATGTGAAAGGTCTCTTGTTCCCATTTTAAACCAGGCACACACTGCCTGTGAATAAAGTGATTTACTGGATGACACAATTCCAAAATGTGCATTGATCTGCTTCCCTCAGCTTTTTGTGGCATCTGTGTTGCTGGAGCCAGAGCTGGCTTTGACTCCGATGCCCTCCCCAGCCCACCACAGCTATGGCGCCATGGCCAGCTCTCAGAGTTCAAACCGTGGGCCAGCGGAGGAAGAAGAAGGAGAGGGGGAACACACCCAGACCCATGAGACTGAGCTCCAAGACCCACCAGACCTCTATTGCTCCACCACGCTCATGGACAGCTCCATGGGCTACCAGTAACACCAAATCTCCACCCAAAACTGACTTCTACGTGTCCTTCAGCTGAAGAACACAGATTACTAAATGCCGCAATGCTGCGTTTTCACCACTGACCTCAGACTCCAACTACGCTGCTGCCTCGGACTCTGAGACTAGACTGTGCTTGCTAGTAAGGCTGAAGAGCCTGAAGAGTAACGGAGCCTGAGAATACAGGAGCTAAATGCTCTTAAACATCACAGTTGCAGAAGAAAGCCATTTGCCTAAACAATCTGCCGAACCCATCAGACACAGCTCAACAGAACATAACACCAAGCTAAATGTACAGATTCTTTTAGCTAAATGATCAGATGCTGATACGGACTCTGTCTTCTTCTATGGCTTAATTTGCAAATTAAAAAGGTTACAAGTGATGCAGACTGTAATAGAAATGCATTATGGTTTCAGTCAGAGATACTCTATCCATGCTGTGTCGCTTGGAAATGAGTGGAGGCGAAAGTTCCCATCAGAGTGGGTGGTGTGAACAGGCTTGCCCTGACAGACTGACAGAGGGGTTTGGGCATAGGTGATATCTGGTTCCTCTGTAGCAGAGCTCGGCAAGGCTGAGGGTGAGGGCAGCTAGTTGTGAAGCCATCTGCAGTGAGACAGCAGACAGACGGACGGAGGGCCAAATGTAACTCAGAGATGTACCGTAATATATGTACGCTCTAAACGGAGGCGCAAACAGCTTGACTCAACCTGAAGCTTGTAACTATTATCAATATAAGGTTGATATTTTTGCTACAGTATTTTTGGTGTCATTGATATTGTGCTTTGGGTTGGGGGCGGGAGGAATCGAGGATGTACAATGATTTGCAGAGATGTCTCATCTTAATCAAAACCTTACCTAATTATGTTTCGACTGTACATATGGTCAAAGTGGAATAGCTTGAGCTTTTTGGAAATCTGCTATCTATTTTCTTGCTCACAGTTTGGTAAGAAAATAAAGCATGTAGCCTGTTAGCTTAGCTTAGCACAGGTTGGAACTAATGACCACTGATTGTGCACTAATTTTCTGGTAGGCGTAGCGAGATACTCTGAGGGCATTATATAGGGTATAGTTTGGAAAGTACTTTTAAACGTCAAACTCACTTTACTGTTAGCATTGTTACGTCTTTGTGTAACGTTACTGAAACTTGGGGACTCGAAACATGGAGAAAGGGCTAGCCTACAGGCAGAACCAGTAACTTTGTGGGGTGTTGATGCCAAGAATCTTGTCTTCACTTGTAGACACACGGGCACCCTGGTAAGTAGTTATTTCTATAATACTTTTTTTCAAGTCCACCTAAAGAATGCATGTGCAGTAGCTGCACTGTAGAGTAGCGTCTGGATTAGTCTACACAGAAAATAGGCAGGCACTTGGTTTTCTTTACAAAACCTGTAGTTTACCTTCTGAAATTTAGATCTCTTGGCCCCAGGGAGACATTTGTATACACTGGTTAAGTACAGAGTCATGGCAAAAACAAACTAAATGTCTTTCAGTTCTGAGGTTTTATTTATCAGGACATAATAAAAAAGTTGTGTCTTTATAAGGTAACAAAATTGGATAAATACAACCGAGGATGAACAACACATGACATATTACAACAAGTCATTATTTATTTAAAAAAAAATCTAAGCCAAAAATGCAGAAGCAGTCCTCTGGAAAACTAAATCCATGTCATGATTCAGTAGCTTGTAGGAGCCCAGTCATTCTTTTCTGTGCGATGGCATCAGTCTCTCATATTATTCTGGAGAAATAATAGCTCACTCTTCTTTACAGAGTTGTTTCAGTTTATTGAGGTATTCATTTATGCACACCATTTCATTCAGGTTGAGGTCTGGTCTTTGACTGGGCCAACACTGATTGCTTTCGTTTTCAGCCATTCTGTTGTAGATTTGTTGCTTTGTATTGGATCATTGGCCTATTATGCAAATCATTTTTGGTCGAGCTTTAGCTGTCGACCAGATGGCCTCATATGTGACTCTAACATACCCAGATCCCTTTAGCTGCAAAGCAAACCCAAATCCTCATCCCTCCATTACAATTAGTTGAGGTGGTTGGTTTTCACTGTGGATTGAGGCCAGACATCTCCACTTTAGTCTCATCTGTTCAAAGGACATCGATCCAGGGGTCTCACAGTTTGTTCAGAAGCAATGTGGCAAATCTAAGCTGTGCTGCCATGTTCTTGTTAGAAACAAGAGACTTTCCCCTGGCAACACTTCCCAAACACTACTTGGTCACTCTGAGATGTAGCTCTTGCGTTTTTTTTTTCAGTTTCTCTGATTGAATGGTCTGACCTTTGGTTGAATTTGCTGTGATGTCCATTTCTGGGAAGATTGGCAACTGTCTTAAATGTTTTTCACTTCTCACTGTAGAATAATGGACTTTAAATTGCTTGGAAAAACTTCTAACGTTTCCCAGATTGACGGGCAGCAATAGTTCTTTCTCGAAAGTCATTGCTGATGCCTTTCCTCCTTGGCATTGCATTAGCACACATCTGAATGCTCCAGACCAGCAAACTGTCAAAATCTCTGCTTTTACCGAGTTGGTCAGACTTACTGACGATCAGTTAATCAAGTGCATTGATTAGCAAGACCTGACTGCTACTTTCTCTTTTAATTCCTAAGGAAGCAGTAAGGGTGTACTTTCTTACACTGCTTCTGCATTTTGGCATTGCTTATGTTAATCAGTAACGACTGAGTGTAATATGCCATGTGTTGTAGATCATTTAAGGTTTTCACCATGACCGTATAGCATTGTGCATAGCTAGCAGTCTGTTCGTTTAGCCCATAACAAAATTACAATATCTTTGGCTTAGCATACAGACCTGAAAGGAGGGGAAACAGCTAGTTTCTGGTTTTAAACCAGAGACTGGTTTAAAAGTAGCAGAGACTTTGCTTTATGGTGTGTTGCTGCTAAGCTAAGCTAACTTGCTATGGTACTAATATATACATCAAAGTGCAGGCAAGAAAGTGTTTTGTAAAATGTGAAGCTGTTCCTTTAAGTTGTGAAGAAATGGAGTATAATAGAAGCGCATCCTAAAATTACATCATTTTCCAAATATGCCATGGAGTCTGTTTTGTGCCACTGCAGGAGAACAACATGGAAATCTCCAGAAGAAGTTTTTCGGTTTTGCTAAGTTTGCTAAACTCAAAAGCTTTTATAAAATTTTCCAGTTTTTTTGATGTTGGTCAAATAGGTCATTGCTGAAATTAGGTTTTGTTATGTTGCAAAGACAAACAGTAAAATAAAGCACTATCATGCTGTTTTCAGTTGACATATGCTATGTAACACGTCACTGCATGTTAATTATATATCGTCTAAATGAGGTATGCATTTCATATGTGCTAAACTTCATGTTTTTTGTGTCAATCTGTTGGTTTTTTTGTTCTTTTTGTTTTTCTTTTAAATCCTCTTTACAGCGGGTCAAAGATTTTCTCATGTGACTGAATGTTAATTTCTTACTCATGTCTTTTGCTGTGCCTTGGGAAAAAAAAACGCCCTTATTGTGTGACAATCCAGCATGGCCTGAAATATGCTGCATGGACGAAACAACCAAGAGATAAAAATTGTAACAAACCCAAAACTCAATTTTTTAACAGCCAGTGCGTCCTTCATTCAGAATAAAACAAACATACAATGTGAGCTTATTCTACTAAGATATTAACAGTCAATCTGCACACGAGGTCCTCTACCTTTATCTTTATCTAGAGCTTTTGAATATATCACACGATCTTCATCAGCATATTAACTGGCTCAGCTGTCATCCATTCATTCAAAGCTTACACCATCCTGCGTACTCGTGGGACAGGAAGTCCTAAAGACGAACAGATCACTGACCAGTGCGCAAACCTCATCTGTTCTTGAAGACCAAGTGATGGGATCAAAAGCTGTAGAATAGGAAAGCAAGTGAATGTCATAAAAATGGTTAATTGCGAGGTTAAGAATGAGCGCGTGGCTTGTAGTTGTATCAATATTTTGTATTGTGTACTTGTTTGTGCCTTGTCACTGATTTCAATCAAGCCCTTTTTATTCCTCGGTTACCTTATTTTTGGATCATACGTATGTATGACGGGGTTCTCTAAATGTTTGTCTTTTTGATTAACAGTGACTGCTATGGGTTAGGTAGCTCCTTGTTGTTAAGTAGAGTAAGTTATAATCGGTTTTCTGTTCTGTCTGAGAGAGTGTATCATGATATACTTATAGTCATGCTTTATATAACATTAATGGCACCTTTTGTTATAAAGTGACATGTATTTTGCTCGTTTTACAGGGACTCTAATTGTAGTAGCTTATGCTGTATAAAGTAGATGAAAGCTAGCAGCAGAGCGCAGATGAAGTGGCCACTGCAGAGGATCATGAAGTTTAAAAAAACAGAACATCAAAGAGCATCTCAAAATTTCAGTCTCCAAACTGCAAACATGTCCCATGGCTTTCTCTTCCAAAAGCCCGTTTCACAGATCATTAAATGTGCTTTCCTTTGAAAAATACAAAATAAAAACTAATAGGGTATTCTTAGCTCTAATGGCCATGCGAAGAGGGATTGTCCGTTCCCATGCTTTACTAGTTTTATTGCATCCGGACATGTCTGTTCATGTGCAGTCAGCTTGGCCAACCGAGGTCTATTGGGTTTCCAGACGTGCCCGATGCTTTTTGCTCTTCGTTTATAAAATATGTGTATCATAAGTACATTATTTCAGATTTTATTCTGCTGTAAAAGTGGGCTGTTATTATCTCCAAGAAGTCTGAGGTTTAGGGACAGGCTGTGTTCAAGATTGATCTCTGTCAGGCTAATGAGTTTTCATCTGTTATAAGTGAAGTGCTGTGATCTGAGATTAAAATGAATTCAGCTCAATCCACTCATCTTGTGCCATGAACTTCTTGTTACTCTCTGCTGTGGTCTGTGATGGAAGCTTTTTCAGACACAGTGAGTCAGACTTCATGTGGAAAATAGAAGAGCCGCTGTGAGTGCGCTGGTATAAGAATACGATTCCTTTAGGAAATGTGCAAAACATGTTTTGCACAGTACTTTCAAATGTTCATTTGATATTTAGGAAATATTTTTATTTATGTTAGAAAATAATGTGGATATCATCTGCTCTTATTCTCTTAAGCTAAGGTAAGGGCAGCTTTAATGGACACATCCAGTATCCCATCTAATTCTTGGGAGGAAACTGTGTAAAAAGTTAAGCTACTCATTTAAAATCTACCAGCTGATAACAGTGTTTCTTCTCATTTCCAGGCTTATTACCCATACTGAAGGTCTTCACACAAATGACTTTTTGGACAGTTACCTGTACATACTAGAGAGCTCACTTGCCCTGAAACCACATCAGAGTGTGGATATAGGAGTAAATTTCATAATCGAACCACAGTGGAAATTCTTGTGCTGTTTAAAGATGTTTTTCTATCAAAATAATGAAAATGTATGAACCATCTTGCACTGACTGGATTGGTTGAATTTCTCTGTATGAAACAGTTTGCAGAGTGGAAAAATACCAGACTTCCACCGTGCACGATACTCCTTCATTGCACAGTCACAAAAGAAGACAGAGAGAGGAAATGCCACGGATGACATTTCCGTCGTCACCTGTGGCAACTGCTGATGGCATGATTCTCAGAGAAAGGTGAATTCCTCTGGGTCTGTGGTCTGCCATCTGCTTTCCCCTGTCCAGATGCTTAGAATAGAAAATGTCTCTGCCTCCTGCTGCAACCATATTGTCACTCCCATATGGCTTTGAGTCAACATACAAACGCAGCTCAAAAAGTTAGTATTTTAAGTCCCCTAGAGTATATTATAGTATCCAACTGACTTATATAAGAACGTTCATTGTTCCCCTTGGCAAAACACAATTACCACAATGTCGATTTAGTGGCTGTACTTTCCAGCTCTTCTCACAATCTTCTTCTAAACATGGTTTTTGTCCAGTATTAAGTTTCAAATTTAATAGCACCGTAGAGACCTTTTGTTTTCCATGTTGGTTTAAGGGTGAACCTTTTTCAGAGAACAATCCCCCCACCACCACCACCACCAAGGACCTGTTAGCAGCAGCTCAATATTCAGTTACATCACAGCGTCTTTCTCGACTTTCAGATTAAACCCTCTGCTGACAGTTTTTCTATCTGAGGCAATGTTTCAGGGAAACAGGGAAAGCCTTACATGGCTGAAGAGGTCTACAATACATTTCTTTTACATAACATTTGTTGGCATCAAAGATGCTAATCACTCAGGGTTTCAGGGCATACACAGATTGTGTCGGAGCCTGGGAATAGCTGCTGCCAAACCTGGTTTTATAGATGTGCTCAAAGACTGCTAATTAGCATTTTTTTTAATTCAATCTTTACCACAACTGGAGCACGCATTTTGAATTTGGCATTATAATGCAACAACACCAACACAGTAAGGGAGCCCAGTTCACAGATCGAGACATCTAAGCTGAGGAAGCCAAACAAATGTGAAGCAGAGGTGGGCGGATCGATCCAAATATTGATATAATATGTAATAATTACATTACATTTTTCTATCCTTTAAGTTCAGTATGCATCCCACTGAACTGTGTTAAATACGCACTAAGAAAAATGTCTGAATGTTTTTGTGTTGACAGCAAACTGTGTTTTATTTATAGCCCATTTAAACAACAGAAACTGAACCAAAGTGCTTTGGAAACAGGTGCATTTAAATTCCAGATCTCCAAAAGAAAAAACAGTTTCTAAAAAACATGAATAGCTGAAAGTATGGTAAATTAAGTATGGTAAAAATCACAGTGATTTGTTCAGAATGTGTTCAGAATTTGCAAATTGATGATGATTTATTTCATAAATCATGACACACTGCCCTCCCCTGCCTCTTTTGGTTAACAATATCAATATTGGTATCTGCAATACTGGCCCTGTATTTACTTGGTATCAAATTTGAAGTATCTTGCAGCAATACTGTCAAGTGACTTGATGTCACAAAAAGAGGTCACGCCCTATATAATAAATTCTTTGCCAGAGAATTCAAATTTTCAAAAGATTTTGTGACAAATTAAAGAAATAATTAAATATTCATTTGCATATATACGTTTAAATTTGTATCCTATTTGCTCCATTTAAAAATGTATTGATCAATTTATTTTTAGGACTTAAGGTGTGTTCTACATTAATGATGTAGAAGAAGAAGAAACTCACAAAAACACTTGTAAACTAATGGGGTTACACTTTCATATAGTCTAAATGGGTAATATACCTTTCACATAATAACATCACACAAAATCTGCACAGCGATGATGTGAAGCTCCCGTTCCACTACACCCCAAAGGTGGATTGAGATCCAGGTATTTACCAAGGCCTTTAGAATACAGTGAACTTGTTCTCATCTTCATGAAACCAGTTTGAGATGATCTGAGCTTTGTGACATGGCACATTCACCTGCTGAAAGCAGCGATTAGAAGATGGGCACACTGTGGTCACAAAGGGATGGACATGGTCAGAAAAAGATAGGTTTAACTCTTTAAAGCCCAAAATATTAAATGATGGCCTGAAAATTCAATTGTTTTGAAAATGAAGAGTTTATTGAACCATCTGACAAATTCGTCAGATGGTTAATTCAATTTGAATTTCCATATGACTTTTAATTTGTGCCATATTTACTATGCCTGTCTATTTCTTTATTTATCTTTTTCAAGGGGGGGGAATCACACTGATAATGCAGAAGTCTCAAAAACTCACAAAAAACAGTCTGTCTTAAATATGATACACTAGGCGTTAACAGGGAAATCATGCTCAGTTGACATACATGGCCCAAAATATGCCAAGAAAACATACAGATATATATAGAAGATACAAGGCAAGCAACCAAGTGTTACAGCAGAAAGACTCATCAGACCAGAAAATGCTTTTCCAGTCTTTGGTTATCCAATTTTGGTGAGCTGGTGTGAATTGTAGCCTTAGTTCGCTGTTCCTAGCTAACAGGAGTAGCACCCACTGTGATCTTCTGCTGCTGTTTCCCATCTGCTTCAAGGTTTGCAAATGTGCATTCATCTTGGTTGTGACAAGTGGTTCAGCGGTTCTTATCATCTAAAAGGAGTAAGACCATTCTCCTCTGACCTCTGACATCAACAAGGCTCAGGGAATGGCCGCTCACTGGATATTTTTTCCTTTGTCAGACCATTTTCTGTAAACCGTAGAGATGATTGTGCTAACCAAACTTCCCAGCAACAGTTGCTGACTCAGCACTCCACCCTTTTTCCCAATGTGGCCATTTCTGGATAGAAAGAGCCAACATGGCACCAGCCAAAGTGCTAAATGGTTGATGGCCAAGTCCATCTTTTATATACAGTCTATAACATTAAATATATGGGTCTGCGGGGACTGAATTTGGAGGCAACTCAAAAGACCATTAGTGACAGTTGGTTTGATCACCCATGGAGGTTGCCATTTCAGAATATACCCTTTGTCATATTTCTGGACTACCAATTGTAGAAGACATCAGAAATTCAATTGCTGATGTTGATCAATCGTGTGTAAATAGGATGTAGTACACCCAAGTTGTACTGTTCACCAGCTACACACGATCCCAAATAAATCCACTATCCTGTTTGAGAAACTACAGTACCCATCTGTTTTCTAGTCACACTATAGGTTTGACTGTTTAGATTATCTCTCGCTACATCTTTCACAGGAATGAGCCTGATCCATAGACAGGCAGAAAAGGGAATTCAAAGACTACTTCTTAGTAGGAGTAGCTGTTCAGCAGCTGCTGACAGATAGCTCATTCTCATGCTTGTGATGGCTGCTTGGCAGACTTGTGCTGCAGTCTCCCAGAGAGCCATCGGAGCAAATCTTATTAGCCCGAGCTCACATGCACAGTCACTGTCAACACCTCTCCACTGTAGGATTTACGATGAGTGAGTGATTGAGCAATGCAACGTTTTTCTCCTTCATCAAAAACGCACATATATACAACCATCACCTTACAGTTGCCATGACAACAATGAATACCCCCCCCCCTCTTTTTTTGTTCCAAAACACATTGCAGACTTTCTAAAAATATGTATGTTGTCTTTTCTCGCAGACTTTTTTTTCCCCAGATGACAGCCTTCAGAGCAAAAAGCTACAAGGTCAGTCTGTAGCAGTAGAGGAACAAAAAAAAACATGAAGGAAATAAACATATAGTCAATGTGAGTTTATTGAAATTTGTTGCAATCCATTACCAGGGGATGAGAGAGAGCATGAAGTTCAGTTTTGGTTTTTATATTGCAAGAGCAAGAGGCCAACACAAATCCAGCAGACTCTTGCAGAGAGGGTAAGGATATTGTTGGCAGTGCAGACAGACGGGTAAGTTCCAAGTCAGATGCTCCACCATCAGCCGAGCAGACAGCGACTTTCACAGTGACACAACAGAAAAAAGAGAAATGAGCTGATATGTGTGTAACTCATCATAACCTTCCTGCCTGCCCCCACTCATCTGATCACTCTGGCTTTAGATGATATTCAAGTAGAAATGCATCCAAAATCTGCACAGTTCTGCTCGTTTTTGAAGGAAAGCATAAAGGAAAATAAAGATAAAGTGATCCAAATTGTGAAGAACACAATGGGTACTGTGAATTTCTGAAAACATACTTGAGGTGACATTGTGCAGTTGCATGAGTAAGTGGGCTGAAGTCGCCCTCGTCTCGGAAGCCAGGGGGGCGATGAGCCATTCGACGCTTGGATCTTATGTAACACTGAGAGATGGGCTGTCAGTGGGAAGCAAATCAGGCATTGTGTGACTGATTTCAAAACCTGACCGCTGTGTTGCGATCGTAATCAGTCCGTGACAACACATTTAAGACAAGGAGGAAAACACACTGACTTCAATAAGCAGTA